CCACTGCGCGCCCGAGCCCATCGCCTCGTACCGCGTTATGTACAGGAACGCATAGCACAGCGACGATGACATCGACAGGCACTGCCGCGGAGATAGAACAATTCTGATATTACAATAGTTGTCTTTATTTAGTTTATCAACATATGTCAAGTAAATACGGAGTACTAACGACTATGAGTTTTAGCGAACTGGTTAGCACGGCCTCCAGAGAGAGGATTAGCACGAAAGGCATGAAGGAGGTGAGGTAGGCCAGGCCTGCGCACACCGCCGCCACGCTTGCGCCTCGGAACAGCTTCGACATCATGTAACTGAAAACAAACATAAATTTTGATTTAATTTATGGTAACACAAAAAAAATCTTATTAAATAGACTACAGCGCACTCAATAGTTCATGATCGAAATAGCACAATATAATTTTGTTGAGTACCAACTTACCAAAAAGACAGCACAGAGAAGGCAAATAAGAACAATAGCACGAAAACAAGGGATGGCGCTGTGTGCGGCAGCACGCCGCCCGCGCACAGCACCGCGGCGATGCAGGCGGCCGTCACCACCAGCTCGCACAGCGACCACACGAACCACGACAGCGTGTGGTGCGACAGACTCACACCCATCACCGACATCAGCTGAATGACAAGTATCCAAGGATAAATAACATTAACTCAAGGGAGTAAAGTGCCATTTGGTTTAATTGTTACATACATTTTTGTCACAGGTGTTTCTTTGAAAATTCCCACATATGCCTTGCAAATACTATTTTTATCAATATAGTTATAAAAAATTCTTATTTATATTTTCAGAAGTAAACTTACCACGGTATTACCACTTTCCTTCTCAGACACGATGAAGCGCACGACAGAAGTAGTGGTGAACAGCAGAGAGAAGTAGAACGCCACAATAAGAGACTGCGACTCGTATAGAGATGTTTGGAAACTGGAATAAGAAACAGAATAAACAGTAACCTTCGAAACTTTGAAAAAGATCATTCTAAAGGAAATAGTACTGACAAGTCTTTCCTATAGCAGGGATAAGGTTCTTGCTGCGTGTATGTCGCCCAGTCTGCCTCTCTGGCCCTGCCGAGGCCGTCGGCAGCCACATCTATGATGGCCTTGTCGATGATGTCTTGTATCTGGATGAAGCCGCGGAAGTAGCGCATGTTGTCTATGAAGTTTGACTCTGGACCCGGGATCCAAAGGCTGGTGAAAAGTTATTGTTAAAACAGGTAGGTAATTTTCTTCTGAGTAATACTGGGGTAAAGTTACTTAGAGTTTTTAGTTATTAACAAATAGGTTTTTAAGTTACTATTGGATAAATATACTACGAAACAATACTTACTAATTCTTCTTTCGAGTTGTGGTCGGTACATTCTCTATGTCCATCCTTATTTTGTATTCCACATTGAGTGGCACCTCTAGACTCGTCTCATTGTTTAAGAACACGAGACCGGCTGAGAACTCATTGACTCTCATCAGCTTGACGGCCTCGAGGCTGAGCTGGTGCTCGTCCGACACCGGCCTGAAGCGGTTCAGGTTCACGCACTCCAGGATATTGGATCCTCTCTGCAGGATGCTGCCCAAGTCCTACAGTTTGACACATTGTTAAAAACGATTAAATGTAGATTTATGGTATCGGGAAAGGTCTTTGTAAAATATAATTAAAGCTTTTTGGTCTTGATGTTTGGTAGATTACAGTAGTTAATTTTTCTCTCTTAACTAAATAAGATTGAAATGTCTGTTGGCGTCGTTTTCACTCCGCACTAATAGATGGCGCTGTGGCGAGACCGTCTTACATTGAAACGCGATATTGTGAACGTCTCGCCACAGATCTAGTCGCCCGCTAGTCGCGGGCTCTTCGGTGATTTGTCGGTTGTTCTTTGCGTTGTTATTGTGGTTGTCATTGCGTTCTGTAGAAGTCGTTTGTTTCTGAAGTTTGGTCGTTGGTCAAGTCCTGGGGTTCAAATTCGGAACCCAAGTTACGCAGGAAACACAACAATGTCAATGTCTAGCCGTTACATGTCTCACCTGTATATCACCTAATTTGTTGAAAATCTGTTCAACATCTATTTCCGGTATCTGCACGTCTCCAAATAGTTCTGTCTTGATAGCTTCTGCTGCGGGCGCGGCCAGCAGCTGCTGCAAGGCGGCGAGGCCGGCGCGGTGCGAGGACAGCGCCCCAACCGCGGGGAACGCGTTCGCGAACCTCTGCACTAGTTCGATCATCTGCACCATTGGTGCGAAAGTCTCGTTTGCCTGAAAGAGAGCAATGCTTTTTAATATCGCGGAATGGCAAGTACGTTTAGGCTTGTCTTTTAAATCACGTAGGATCTATGACCATTGCGTTATTAATAATTATTATTGCACAACAAATTACGTGATTGCAACTTTGCAAATACCATTATAATCGAGTGAGAGAAATGTCAGTAATGCTTTAGTGCATGTATGTTACCTTCTGTATGATGTGATGCACGTTGGCGGTGGGGGGCGTGTACAGGATCTTGCCCATGACCAGCGGCTTCACAAAGCTCCACACGATCTTACCTCCGTCGACGCTCACAATCTGCTTGTACATCGACCGGCAGAAATCCGCTGGAATTGACAATATTATAATAAGCGTATAAAAAGGAAATGTATCTTGAGATTTCTTTGATTTAAACAAAACATACTGGGTAAGACTTCCAATTGCTCAGTGTCTGCTTCGCTGGATAAGTCTTTGGTTTCAACGATCGATTTGAAGAATCTATTGACTTGAGTGTTGAACGGCTTGCCGCACACCATCTTGCCCGCGGCCGCCATGAAGTCACCACCTGTAATATTAACTCTGCTTTTTTATTATATTTCATAACAATTAAAGTATTTGTTGAACGAATTGCAATTTAGGTAGGCCGAATCACAAACGTACAAAAAGCTAAGATCCACAAATGTCGCAGAGCTGAAAAAATTACAGTTTGATCTTTATTTTGATTATTTGATTCTCACCTCCGAATAAACTATCAAAGGTGAAATCGTTCTTGAAGTATTCGAGTACAGGTTCGTCAGCCAGCAGCCCGCTCACTCGGTCGAAGCTGTCTCGGAGTGCGGGCAGCAGCGCGGCGAGCTGCGGGAAGCTGTCCAGCACGAGCTCGCCGCGCTGCGCCGGCACCTGCGCCGCCGCGTACAGCTCGCGCAGTAACCAGTCTTTTATCTAAAAATAAACAAGTGCTTAACATTAATAAGGCTTTTACAAAAAAATCAGTATTTTTCTTCTAATTTATTATTTCTACGTATTGCCAACAACGCTACCTTAGTTGTATTTTGTGCAAGAGAAAATAATGCAAATTTTTGATTTTCAAATACAGTAGACTTACTTACATTGTTAATAATATACGAAAAATCCAAGTTCCGCAACAGAATGGGAACGATCTTCTTGGCTATATCCTCGTCCAGGTCGCAGAACTGCTCGGCGACCGCTCCAAGCACGTCGTCCAGAGTCACCACGTTCAAGTTGGTGGGCACCAGCACTCGAGACATATCCTCCGCCTCACACACCAGCTGCCTGATGCGGAATGTGTCTTTTGAAGCCAGGATCTAAGGGATTCAAGTCAATGTGAGAAATTTTATAGTCATAGTCAAAAATAAGCAATTTAAAACTATTTAAGCAAGATCGATAAAGTCAAAATAAATAAATACAGAACATATCGTTCATGATTTAAATGTAGCCTAAAATGTAGTAATTTGCTGATTTCTCTCTAGTTATTTGATGACAATTGATGAATGCATAACAATTAGTACCGGTTTGAACTGTAGATATCCTGCGTGTATGCGCGGCGCGGCCAGAGACCAGAAGTTGGTGTTGTTGATGCCAAGCGCGCTCAGCTCCAACTCCAGCTCCTCAGGATCCGAGAACAGCTCCGATACTGGGACTGGAATAAGTGTTTTAATTTTTTTTTAACATGCTAACAAAATATATTTTGGCCAAACTGCTTAATTCGTCTATGAGTATTCCTAAATGGTCGTGCGATTTCATAAAAATTCTTAGGTCTTGAAAATGCTAACGTAACGCTATCTATTTGTAAAGTTATTTCGACAGTAACTTAATTCATTTTACCTTTAATATCCTCTTCAATTAATGAGTTTCTGATCTGTTGGAGCACCAGTAGGCCGCGGCTGAGGTCTAGCAGATTGCTTTGTAGGTCGTAAGCCTTTATTAATGGTGTAAGTTCGGTTGTTAATCCATGCAAACTGGAAGAAATATGACACGAACTGTTAAGTAAATATTAATTGATTACTCAAGCTTGTGAGATTAGGTAGTAATACTTTTTTATCCGTTAATGAGAAATGGTTTATTTTAATAGCAGAAGATAGTAAAAGACCAGTAATAACTACGTACCTATAAACAATGCTGCCAAGTGTATCGTCAGTGAGTAGTTGTATAGCAGTGTCGATGACAGCGACCAGCCGGCCCTGCGCCACTCCAGCCACGTCCACTTGACTGACGACTCCGAGCAGTCGTGCCACGTGACCGATTAACGCTTCGAAATGTTCCAGAATGTTCGATATGAATTTGAAACGCCAGAACTCTTCATCTTGCAACATCGGTAGCTGTGAAATAATTCTAACTATCAGGGCCTGTCCCACCAAATTGTAAATTGTCTAATATCAATCCAACGTGTAAAACATGTGATGGAAATACCGGATTTTGTTCTCTTATCTGACAAGGACGTCATTTTTAAGCAATCTGAGCCTCTATCAGCCAGTGATGGGACAGTCGGTGTTTGTTATTCAGAAATTAACTAGAAAAAGAAACTTACATCTTCATCAATCAATGTTTTGTTTAAATTATTAACAATGACATCGATGACTTTGTTACAATCGCAGCTCTCGCAGAGATCCTGCCAAGTCTCCTCGTTTTCAAATATTAAATCTTCCGGTTCAAGATCATTCACCTACGATAAAATCAAAAAAGAAATATAAAAAATAAGTTTTACTAAACATTATCGATTGTAAATCTTTGATATATACTTACAGCTGCAACACTAACTTTACTATTTTCCACAGCCTCAACAAGATAGTCTTTCTTGATGACTTCTTTTAAACTCCTTGTAAGATCAAAGCTTTTAATGAAGTAACTTTTGAGTGGAACCTCCACGTCTAGCCTGTGTGCTACTGCTGCCTGCAGCTCTTTTAGGTATACAACCTCTTTGATACCATCTATTTCTTGCAGATGAGGTAATTCTGCTCGTATTAGTTTGAGAGTTTGTGCTGCAACTTTCGCAAATCTGGAAAAATGTAAAAGGTTATTTGCTATAGAATGTTATGGTTTTACATTTAAAAATTTCTTAATTGAATGGAATGAAAAGTAACGTGAGATGTCTTCGAATTTTTTAGCTATGTAAATTTACTGAAGAAAGAAGACGTAGGATAAGATAAAATAGGAAGTATAATTGATATTTAGATAATTGATTACTTACAAGGTGGCATTCCCAAAAGCATTTTTGGTAACATTGCGTGTGAGACACTGCGATATTTTTGTTGTGGGCGACATTATATCTTCTAGAAGATGCTGCTTCACAAGCTCCAGAAATTCATTCATAGACTTGTTGAGTTCGAACTTTGTATAGTTACGAGATGATATTAACTGAAAGAAGATAAGAAGGTACAGTTTCGGGTAACACAATATTCAGTCAAAGTAACTAACACTCTCAGAGACGTTAATTAATTAGGCAGTTTTACTGCAGATTTTTCTTTCTAGAACTCGAGAGTTGCTAACGAAATCCCTGATTATTGAATACGAGTATACCAGGGTGTTCCTAGATGAACCGTAGTTATGTTTCTTTAATTGTGTGACGGTGACTATAAACTATTTCATGCTCAGTTTTCTTTTTTTTAAAATTAATAGGAATAAAAATAATCAGTAGTTTCACCTCTTTAATAGCCATATCCCAGTGGAAGTCGTTCTTCAGCGTGTGATAAACATTGATCAAGTCCATATCCTGCAAGTGACACAGCAAGTTGTCGTACTCCTGCTTCTTGTACAGCTGCAGATTGAGTTGTTTGAACCACGTCGTGAATTGAGAGCAGAGAGTACATTGGCTGGTGGAACAATGCATAAAAGGATGGTTCCATTAAAGAAGGATAAATTTGATTTTGTCAGATATTCTTTATTTTTTTCTTACCTGTTATTTAACAACAACGTGCCAGCGTCAACAATATTTGCTAACATTCCAAAAGACGCTTTGGTGAGCGTTTCTGTAGAGAGCAATGCGATAGCTGATGTTCTAAATCTCTTTAATTTATCTTCGGTCACCCATCCTGGAGCTTGCGGGGGGCTTGGCCCGTTTAGTATTTTATCTAAATTTGATTCCATTTTGGATATATCTATATTTACAGCTGTATAGTTCACGTCGGTTGATATTTTTAAATTGCTGTCGAACATCTGGAATTACGACAGGTTTACATTATTTCGCTTAATAACTTTACGTCCTATTGTACATATGTACAAGATATAATTTGTACTGCATTTAATGTGTAAGTACCTGTGAAGCAAAGCGTAGCGGCATCAATTCCTTGATTAGTTCTGTAGTGTCCTCTAAGCAGAACTGTTGTTTGAAGGCGGCGAGCGCGCCGCTCCTGTCCGGGATGTACTCGGACAGTGTGACATTGGACTTGCAGAAGTCTTCCTTGCTGTTCACATTGATCTCTCGGATTAGGCGCACCCACTGGAATAATAATTCAATTTACGTTATTTATACGTAGAAATGTGAAAAGAATGGATCGTTATATAGTTCTTTGTGATTTGGGAGGAAATAGGTTTTTTTTTTTATATCATAAGATGGCAAACGAGCAAGCAGCCTGAATCCGCCTAAATGGCGAAGAGACCGCTGCCCATACACATTTGCAATAGCGGATGCGTTGCCTACCCTTAATCGATGGAGGAGGAGACCTACACGATCCATTCATATATCTCCCATTCCAATGCGTCTATTTCAACGTCAAATCCCCGTTCTCTTCCCATCATTTCTAAAAAAAAAGGGTGGGAAGGAAAAGGGACTAAAGTTGGGCCTATGTTTAAATAAATTTTCAATGATGGTAAGTTTTTGAACAATAGTAATCACTACTTAAAAGGTCATGTATTAGCATTTATAATATACTTACACGTATTTTATCTAAATTGTTCAAAATATCATCAGCGATGTCAAAGATTTTCTCCACATTATTCAAGAAAGTGGTAGCAAACGGTCCATTGTAAAGTATTCTAAGTTGTTTCCACCAATCACCTCCGGACAAGAATGTGACAATAACATCTTGATGCTGCATGTTGTTGTACAAATACTTCAGATACACTGGTATACCGAGGTCGTATGCATACTTGGTGGATGATTTCAAAGATTTTATTATTTCTTCCCTGTAAAGTATAAGGTAAGCAGGGGAAACTCATAAGGGCCTTTAAAAAGTCTTTAGGGTTTATTTACAACTAAAAGTGTTTTATTTTACGTTATAGTTTTGTTGTGGACACTTAGGGCTTGTCCCACCACTAGCTGATAGAGGCTCAGATAGCTTAGAAATTACGACACTGTCAGATAAGGGAACGAAATTAGATATTTCCATCACATATTTTACACGTTGGATTGTTATCAGATTCTTTCAGAATTCTTTCAAAATAACTTTAGCTAGTTAATTACTGTACCTGTTTTTTAGGAACTGGGAAATATCACTAACATTTTCTTCTTTACGGATTACATTAATAAGGTGACTTAGGGTGAGCCTTGCGTTTCTTAAATCACTTCCTACGTCGACCATTGAAAATATTACATCGTAATTCATTGCACATATTTGTTCTTTTACTTTGTCATTTTCAGTTAATATATCTTTTGTATTATCCTTGCTTTTTACACGATTACAAGTTTCTATAAAAGCTTCTGTTAAATTATTTTCATCGTTATTCAATAAATTATTTGTAATCGTATCAAAGAATACCGCAATGCCATCTGTTGGTCTTCTTTTGAATAACTTTTTAAATGCTGTTATGTCATTCAGTGTTGCGTTTTGTTTGTCTACACCTATATTAGGAACTTGAAGGCTTACATATTCTATTCTATCTAATACTTTATTTATTACAGTAACTATTCTAGCTAGATATGCTGTAGATATAAGTAACTTCTTATTGGCTTCACTAAACATATGATAATGAGGATTTGAATTATTCACTTTATAATTTAGCATCAAGTCAACAGATTTTGTTAGTTTTACTCTCATATTGTCAATGTTAATGTCTTCTTTGATAATACTTTTGTTGTGCGCGACTTCGGTCATGAAAGCTGATAAATCAATTGCCTTATTATAGGCAACTTCGAAAGTACTGTTCAAATCATCTACAGACGATGTAAAGAAATAATATTGCTGAAACAAGAATAATGAGCCACATCAATTTTAATATTACTACTTAGATCGATAACATTAACTCCTAAGACAGAGAACAGTGACAAAGAAAACTAATTGTCTTTACATTTGCATTAATATATTGCTATCTCTTTCAAGTTCAAGTTATCTCTTTCAATATTCAAGTGTCACTTGTAGTACTTACAGGTTTGGCTACTACATCCACGATGGCATTATCTCCTCGAGGCAATGAGATCCAGTAGAGGAAGGAAGGACAGACGAAAGGTTGCACGCGGGCAATGATGACCTGGTCTATGGGCCCGCCCGGCGCCGGCACCAGGCTCTTCACCACAGCCTCACAGTCCCAGAAAGTACTCTGCATTGCGCGACGGATCTAAAAGTTTAGATCGAACCAATAGTTAAGAGGTTATTGCTGATTATAACTTGCTCTAAAATTTACGAAATAGCTGCATTATCAAAAATTTTTTTTCACCTGATTCATAAAGCCGAAATCTACGAACGAGTTGCTTAGTACACCAATGAAGTCCGGCAACCTTTCATATAATAGGTATAAACTAGTTTTCTTTGTAAAACCCATCAGTTGAAGCAAATTAGCATCCGGTTCTGAAAGATTACAAAATCAAATTAAGAGCTACACTAAACCGAATAGACAAAGAGTCTGTTTTTATTAAGTGGGATAAAAATATTAAACTGTACATTTCTTACCATTGATTTCTTTAAAATAAGATAGTAAGTCATCAGCAACATTGCTAATAGAGAGAGACAGGAACTTGAGAATGTTAAGTACGGTGGTGCGCGCGAGGACGCTGCAATCTCCCTCGCAGCTTAACAACGAGCGCCACAAGCTGGCAAGAGGAGTGCCTGCCTTCACTTGTACATGGATTGAATTTAATACCACGTCCATCTTGCTGAACAGATTCCTGGAGATGTTATAATTAGTTCTTTAGTTTTTTTAGCCATTGAGTACACTACTAGCCATCACGTGTGATTGTGATCGACTTTAAAAATAAATAAAATAAAAAGCGACTCAGGGAAGATTACAAATCGAATATCGCCTCATTCTTCAACAGTTCAGTCACTAAGTTTGCAGACAGTAGCAATGGGGTTTACATACTTAAGTCAGTAAGTTAAAAATATCTTATTCACCTTATAATTGGTACACTTTGAGTATTATTCAATACATCGACGGCATGCCGCCAAGCTGTCATCAATGTAGCCTGGTCAGCAGGCTCGTCTAATGCATCCATCAAAATGTCTTTGATAATATAAAAGTCCTCTACGAAAGAATCAAACGCTCCCGAAAACCGCAGAAATATGTGCGGCCCAAAGTCTTTGCTGCTCATATTTGATTTCTGTAACAAAAAAATAAAACATTTGGATAATTTAAAACCAAGATTCATTGTTACATTGAAAACTTTAGATCTGTGAAAAGCGACGTTTGGGCAAGTTTTTAAATGGCTGTTATTTCGGGTTTTACTTACATTTCTAAATATATATTTAGATTGCAAATATAACTTCCACTCTTCCTGCGTACTTTGAGACATGCACAGCAGGCTCTCTATGCCTTTCAGAGCTTCTTTCGATGAGTTAGTTAACTTCAGAAACTCTCCCAAACTGTTGTCGGAACACGGCCAAGATTTGTTTGCGTTCATTATTTCTATTATTGGTTCTATCTGTAAAAGACAACTGAGTTAGATACTGCCTGAAAAATCAATCCAAGTTTTCCATTATTGAAGCAACTATATCATTTCTTGTTAATTCGTTTACAAATATAAATATTTTAATGTTAGAAGTGTTTTACATGTCATAATGTTGAATTTTTTTTACAAATTATCTGAACGAAAAATTGTATACATAGAGCAATCATTATGCCAGAAAAATTCCTCGACACGAGAGGACTTTCTGGATTAGCCAGGACTTAAGATTAATGTCTCACCTTAGTGTCATCTCTGGCTACCAGGTCGACTGCTTCATGCAGCAGCTGCGGGAAGCGAGGAATGACTCGTCTCAAACTGTCCACCGTGTCTGACGGTAAAGGGGATGGGATCGTTTCGTTCTTTAATATCGCTGAAAGGGCCAAGTAAAATGATTAAAACAAACATAATATTAGTGACTTAAACAAGATAATAGGATGGAGCTATGATTGTTAAGTGTTTTTACCTTGAACTAACTTAACAACATCGTCTACAAGCAGCATCGGGCCTGTTGCTACACCCAGACCGTATTTAAACTGCAGCCAAACTTCGCTCGTTATATCAAAGATATCTCGGTCCATAAGATCAAGGATTTCGAAAGCCAATTTTATACTGAAAATAAAATGCATATGGTTATTATGATCGACCAATAGTGGTTAAATCATATATCAGCGGTCTATCAGGAACGTTTGCGTGTGTGCAAAAACTATTCGTAACGTAAACGATATGTTTTTGTACTTTACGGCCAATAGGGCCGCTTCACAAAATCTTATACCTATTTAGTCGGTAAGTTACCAAAAATGTCTCATGAATATTCATAATAAGCCCTCAGCAAATCTAGGGCTTGTCAAAGTCATTTGTTCTTTGACGACTATAATGTTTAAAGTAGGTCCCAAACATGTGATAGTTCTAAGTAAGTTTCTATTTATAAGATTTTCGTTTTTACCTTAAGCTTATACTCCAGTTTCGTGGACTGAACCATAATGTCTTGACCTCTTTTATCATGTCAGCAACATGGCGACGCATCTCTTCGTTCATACCGTAGCTCTTATATTCAAATAAATATGGATAGAAACTATCTATTTTCTCGTACAAATTCCTTAACCCTTTTATTAGTTTGGTCCATTGGATAGTTTGCTTTTCACCTCCTGCCATTAATAATTTTATCTAGAACATAAATTTAAACATAACACAATATAAATATTATTTGCTTTGCTTATAAATTCAATTATTTCAATACTAACAGCTTGTCCTAGATTTGAATCACGCTTCAATACATTTTCAAATACTTCGCTGATATTACATAGAGTTGATACGATGTCTTCTTCGTTAACATTCGGTGGAAATTTTAGATACTTGGAAGCGTTGGCAGCTCCCCTACACAGTGAATCTAGGCTGTATGTTGACAGCAACTTGAATAGCTGAAAAGAGTATAAAAGACATCAAATTTGTCAAAAAAATATACGTCTACATAAAGTCTTCGTAAAATTAATCTTACTAATATTATAAATGCGAAAGTTTAGATGGATGGATGGTTGTTTGTTAGAGTTTGTAACCTTAACTGAATGGATCTCGATGAAATCTGGTATAAATATAGAGCATAGTCTGGAAGAACACATAGGCTGCTTTACTTTTGTTTTCTTAATACCAGGCGGACGGAGTCGCGGGCGAGAGCTAGTTAATGAATAAAATGAATTGAATAAGTACACGACAGACATTTTGATCTTTTACCTACGGTTTTAGATATTAAAAATGATGGCAGTACCTTATGTTGATCCAACGCAGACGTCAGTATGGTTGTGAGTACAGCTGGGTACAACGCCTTCGCTTTCTCTGCCACTTCTAGTGGCGTGTTGTCTATATCTTTGTTCAAAGCGTCTACAATTAATGTTGCGTCTATTAGAAATGGCGCTATTTTGTATTCCAATACAGGATTTTGTTTGACTACAGCTCTGGCCAGTGCTCCATGTACAGTTACTCTGAAAGAATGTTTCAACAACTATTTTTTTTACATTGTAAGATGGCAAACGAGCAAGCAGCCAACTGCCCATAGACATTCGAGATAGCGGATGCGTTGCCTACCCTTAATCGACGGAGGAGGAGACGCACATAAAGAAGATATTTCCTGCTCCTATGCGTCTCCTCCACCGTCAAATTTACGTTCTCTTTCCATCTTATTCTGATGAGGAAAAGGGTGGAAAGTAAAACGAAACGCGGAATTGCTCCCACTTCACGCCTATCTTCTGTGTGGTCGTGGTATTACACCGGGCGAGCCGGCACTACAGTGAGAAGATGTTAAAGCGGGCTCTACCACTGTTGAAACTAAATTCTTATTGAAGATTATCATTTGATAATATCGACTTGTTATAGAAGCAGATTAAGTTGACATTTATTTAATTTGTTTATAAATGTTTGTTTCTTACAAGATATGATTCCCCACGTGTCGTTTATCACGAATTAAATTCATGATATCAGAATTTTTGTTGACATTAATAACATTATTCCAATTAACATGTCTCGGTTCCTCCTCATCTAAACGGTTAATAGCTCGACTGAAATTCCTGAGAACATCGAAGTCATGATCTAAATTATAAAGTAGCGAATTCGTGTTTTTTCCCAAAGTTTCTTGAATAAAAAGTGATGCCATTGAATTGATCTGAAAAATTAAATAAAAATGTGAACCTTCAGTGCTTTATACAAATCTAATTAATAAGATTTATTTACTTACGCTGCTCCTGACGCTGAGGATACCAAAAGAGTGTATCAAATCTTTGAGATATTCCTTTAGCGAGTTTGTACACAGGTGGTTATGTAACTCTGCTACTTGTGCTACGTCTATCTTGAAGAACTTCTGTAACTTTCGTTTATCACAGAATATGTCTCCTGGAGAGTCCAACTTTGATGTTAAAATCTAGAAAACGATAAGATACAATGAACTAGATAAACTAAAGAATATTGATTAGCTCTTGTCGGATGTGAAAGAGATTTGTCTCCGTACATGTCTAAAGACGCTCCTAAACTTCTTGCACTCTCTTTCTCTCGCTACCAGGCTAGTGGAGATAGTGTGAAGTATATGAATCAGGTTGTATAATTGTTGTACAAATGTTTTTTTGTTAGCAAAGGATTAACGTCATTAAGTACAAAGTATGACTTCTTATTACTTACCTGAGCTCTTTCTGGGTCTGACAAAGCATCTAAACTCTTTTCAAACATGTGTACTGGCAGCGACAGTACCGCCTCTATCCCTTGCGGGTGTCTCAGGGAGACATTATACATTAGTTCCTCCAAGTGCACATTTATATAGATCACTTTCTCCGCCTCCTCTATCAGTTTCGTTACCAGAGTGGAGTAGAATAATACATCGTGCTTCGTCTTATCTGGCAACCATTTGTAAATAAAATTCGTAATACGAGATAATCTGTAAAGTAGAAAACATGATATTAAATACTTGCTATGTTGTATCTTTTTGAAAATTATTTTTATGAAGTCGAATTGGACACAGTTTCTTTTGAATTTAAAGTAATTGTGTACTTACATGTTGAAAATGTCAAAGGAAAGACCGTCGTCAGCTAAATCATCGAAAGCTTCCTTAGCATTAGAAAATATATTGGACACGCCATTCACAGTTGACTTTAATGTATTCTCTTGCTTTTCACTATAATTTGATGTTTTATCATTTGTTCGAATAGATTTCATTCTCTGCTTTTCTAAGAATTTATTTAAATATTTTATGACCATTGCCGAAGAATCTGCGAAGTCTCTAATAGTTTTATAAGACTGTGTGTCGCCGAAATTAGGTTCGAAGTAGTCGAGAACATTGGAAATCCTGAAAAAATGAATAAGTCCAAGTAAAAAAAATGGAATAAATGAAGAATCAAAACTCAAACAAAGTAATTAATAAACAACTATCAGGTAAGACTGCCGTATTTGAAGAATGATTAAATATGAAATAATACGAACACATCTAGCTGTATGTATGTGAAGTCAGGAGTCTCATTGAGCAGGATCTCAGTGACTTCTGCGGGCAGGAAGCTGTGCAGCGCGGCCATGCGCAGCACCGCGCCCGCCATCTTGCCCAAATCCAACATCCTCTCGTCTTTCGACAACTTATAGTACATGTTGCCTAGCTGTTGGGGAAATTTACACATAAGTTCAACAAGTTTTTATTTTTATATATGTTAAGGTGGCAAACGAGCAAGCGGCCACTTGAAGCCGCCGAAATGGCGTAGCGACCGCTGTCCATAGACATCCGCAATTGCAGATACGTTGCCTACCCTTAATCGACGGTGGAAGGAGACGTAAATAAAGAGGATACTTCCTCTGTGGAGGAGACGCATTTCCTATGCGTCACCGTCAAATCCACTTTTCCTTCCCATCCGTCCCTCTTAAGAAAAGGGTGGAAAGGAAAAGGCACCAAAATTAGGCCTCTGCCACCACACTCATCAGACGAAACGCGGAATTGCTCCCACTTCACGCCTGTTTTCTGTGTGGTCGTGGTATTACACCGTGCGAGCCTGCCCATACGCGCGAAGATGTTAAAGCGGGCTCTACCACTGTTAAATTGATTTATAAAACTTATCAATTATTTGATAATATTCATCATCTATCGAAATACTCGTAGGCTAAATTCAAAATCAGTCTGACCGTTTACGCTATCAAAATCTATGGTCTTAAGGTTATTAAGAAAAAATGTCTAACTTACCATTTGTAAATACTTCCCCAAATCCATCTCTAGTAATAAGTCCATTGTAAGTTTTTGCATACTCGATGAAGAAAGTGAACAAATCTTTTGCACAAACATCTCCATGTTTTTGTTGTCCATTTTTATTGTTTTTGTCATCGATTCTACGTCACACGTATTAAAGTCTCCTTGTAAGAGCTGAAAAATTATAGTTATGTAACTTATACATGGAACTAGAATAAAAGGTGTTATTTTGTCAATTATTTTTTTATGATATTTAGTAAAGAAAGTTAACTCACGCCCTCGAAGCTTAAGTTAGATTCCATCAAGCTGTTAGCAAGCAGTCCGTCAAGTTCTATTTCTTTTTGCAAATATCGCTTAACTCTATCAGGATTCCGGAACAGTTCTTTAACATGCAAACCATGTTCTGAAATTAATAACTCTAGTTTTATATCGTATTTTCTAGACGGATTTAACCAAACTGATGTAATCACAGCTAGTCAGATGGTAAAAATGCAGTTTTTTTACAGAAGTCTAGTCTAGGATAAATTACTAACTGGTTATATAGACAAAGTCGGACACATCAGCAACCTCTGACAGTGTGGCGAGTAGCTTCAACGCATCCGGCACAGACGACGCTGTCCCCAGCAGCGAGGAGTTGGAGAACAATGGCGCGAACTGCTGCTTTATTTGTGTCAACCTGTCACCAAACAATATTTTACTATACTTGTAAATATACTGGTCTTAAATTTCTATTCATTTTTTTTAACATAATGTACAATGTGGAAGTTTTGTATAGACTTACTTCGATTTAGAATATGAAGGTATTTCCTCGTATTCGTCCATTGGAGAGCATTCGTTATTGACGCTGCAGATGAAGGACTGCAGGAAGGTCATGACACCAGCACTGGGCAGCGCGCGGGCAGGGAACTGACCTGCACACAATATTGACAAATTTATCCAAGATATGCGAAATAAGGAAGAATGCAATATTACGAGTAAGTTCATATGAAGAATACAAGTCTTTTTTTACTAATCTTTCTTTACTTTCATGTGAAATATTAATGTTAATAAAAAAATATTGATAAGTTACTAGAGGTTGTATTAAAACCTAAAATAATTAACAAATACTTACACGTGGGATAATCATGATTGTCGACGTTGCTCCTGACAATGTAGAGGCTCATCATGACCACGGTGCCCCACACGACGCCTGCTAGTGTTATCTACAAGAAAATAAGGATGACAAACCCCAGAGATTCTTTAATTTTTCAAAGATTAAATTATACTGGCTTCGATAAAACCTATGCAATTAGATTCCTTCTCCAACTTATGAAGACAAAACTTTATTTCTCTGCAAGACTTCAATAGACTACAGAATACTTTACCACCGGGGAGTGTGACGAATACTTTAGTGATAGTGGAGTTTTAGTTGGTAGGCTCCCGTTTATCGGGAGAGAGCACAACATAACCTCCGCGCCTTTCCCCTCTTAGGGCGCGGTGGTATGCGCTAACGCATTTCCCCACTTAAAAAAAAAGACTACAGAATACTTGGGCTATGTTTTGTACCGCTCTCTTAAAAGATAAATTATTTTATATTTACTATTAATAGCAGCTGCAATCGAGTTTGTTGTTTCTAGAAGGAATAGAGGTTCCAAGATCGCGCCAAATTGAAATCAATAACTTTAAGTCACGGCTCTAAGTGCTTATGTTTCCTGGTTTTATGGTCGATGTAGAACTATTGTGGTGACTTTCGGTTAGTTATTTACAACCTACCGGATTTCTTTTCCTGATGAGGTAGTCCTTCCACAGCAGCAGCCGCAGTTGCCGGCTCGCCGCCATCTTGTCACACGTATAGTTAATGCCACCATCACTGCAAACAAAATAACCAACACTTATTTTCGTAATTCTTACATTTGTAAACTTAGACATAATTGTATGGTTTCACGCCGACGTTTAAATTCATTATACACGCTTTGTTGCTTGATTAATTGTTTTTTTTTGTACAATTTTCCATTGATGGTTTTCACCTTTTACAATACGTTACGTACTAGTAAGTAACGGGTAACAAACGATGTTTGTCGCATTTCTTTTCTGTTTGCATAAACGCGAAAGTGTTTTTTAGCTTCATGTTTTCTACGCAAATGCAAAATTAAATACCTTATAACTTAGCTATTACGATCTACAATTCAAAATTAACCAAGTAGGTAAAATTTTGGAATTTAGAATGGCATGAAATCGCTTTGGTATACACTAGACTGTAGACATTCGATTCGTTGAGCTCTAGCCCTTCGACTTGTATTTCCAACCATGAATTTTCACTGTATAAATACTTGAATTTAGACATATTGTTATCTCTATTCATTCAGAGAAAATAACAGTGACATCAACATGTACTTACTGTGCTTAAACAGCGAAAACCCACACTAACCTTCAAAACGAAAGGAATAGTTTACGTTTACATTGTGTGCAATGATATTAACAACGTTAATTGGACAATGGGCACAGTAACAGTGTTGAATAATATAAGACGAGCCAAATATTGTGACATGTGGATGTGCGTTTATCAAAGTTTACTAAAGCAGTACTTGTTACTACAACATTACGAGTTATGTCTAAAGGTCAGGGTTCAAACATTAATATGCTAAGCATAAAATACTTTTATTTATAAACATAAAAAGAGAGCCACGAAAATAATAAACTTGACATGAAAATAACGCAATTTGTCTTAATTTTAAAGAATAGATAAAAATGGAAAGTCAACTCTTTACGTAATTAAAAATTTTAGTCAAATATCTATTGCAATATATATTTTGAATTCAGCTGCAGGTATTTTTACGTATAAGAGCTAAAGTTGAATAAATAAAATTAAATAAACCAAAACTTGTACTCGTAAGTCGACTTGAAGGCGCTATAACTATTCTCCTTATACTTAGTATCCTCTAAGTTATGAGAATAAACTTGATCTGTTAACCTAGACTTACGTCACTGCGTGTCCTTGATCTTTGACAGTTTAACGTTTAATAGTTTTTTAATTTAATATTATAACATAATCCTTAATGCACTGCATATTTTGTATTCATTATGCATCGTAATTCTCCTCAAAAGTAATTGCTTGTATAAGTTTTGTTAAAAACTAGCTGTGGCCCGCGACTTAGTCACAGTAAACAGTAACCTAAATTACTCCCATAGCTGAAAAAACTTCGAGTAAAATTCCTGTATAAAGTCCAGTCGTTACGGAGATTATCCGGAACAAATGATAGGACAGACAGACTTGCTTATGATATATGTTACAAAATTACAATTTCGTGCGGTTTTCGCGGAACTTTCTGCCCCGCACAGCCGCGTTGTGGAACGGTCTGTCCTCGGCGGTATTTAAAAACCAATACGACTTAGGGTCCTTCAAGAAGCGAGCCTACAATTTCTTCAAAGGCCGGCAACGCATCTGTAGTTCCTTTGGTGTTGCTGATGTCCATGGGCGTCGTTGATCACCTTTGTGACCATCCGCCGCTCGTTTGCCCCCTTCTTATATAAAAAAATACATGGCGTAGTTTTATTTAACGCTGCACTGTTTTGTAAGATTATACGTGACTTTATATAAACTCGGCTATCATTAACGGATCTAATAAAACGTGTCCTCAAGTGTAATTTACTTTCTGACTTAACCTACATGGTAGTTAACTTGACAATGTTGAGAACGTAAGTTATAACTTCAGTTAATTGATATCTGGTTTTGTTTTAAAAATTGAAAGTGAATCAGTTGGGATTACTAACTTAAATTTTATGAAGTAAGTTAATTTTTATTTTGAATTTAAGTTTAACCAGTAAGGTGGCATGAAAAGACAGAATAATATAATGCTGTAAGAATTAATAATTACTTGAGTATAGAAATCTTTATAAATTACTTTTTACTAACTGTTCCCGTGCGACTTCATCCTCATGAAATTATGATAATTTTATTTCATTGTTTACATTTGTCAAATTATCAATTACCAATATCAAAATGACATGACATGATAACAACTAGCTTCCTTGATGTTGGCAACTACTTATGGTCTCTTTCTCACATTAGGATTTTTATCCAAAATATTTACCCCTTAGGTTTAATGGCGTAAAAATATATAGCCTAAAGCATGACGCAAGTGTAGGACTTTTTATTAAAAAAATAATTATTCAAAAATATGCTGTAACAACTAAGAAGTGCGTGTTTACGTTTACTTTATTATAAAAGTATAGATTGAAACGCATAAAACGTATTTTCTACGTAATAATGATTTATTCAAGACATTGTGTCAATGACCTCGTCTTGTGATTTATTTACATTTAAACGGATTACCGCAATTTCTATTTCCTGATGCGTTTTTGTGAAAACTTTAAAGGTTCTTCAATATTCAAGGTACGCGTATGTATGCAAATATTTTACGATGTACGATATTTCCTTATTTATTATATTTCTACCTAATAATATTTTATTGCGAAATATAATATATACAATAATAGTTGCAGTGATATGAGTTATAGCCGGAAAGTAAATCGACCTTAAAAATATTCACGGAAGAGACATTACAATCTTACTAATATTATAAATGCGAAAGTTTAGATGGATGGATGGATGTTTGTTAAATATGTGGAACATAATCTGGAAGAACACATAGGCTACTAACTTTTGTTTATTAATAATTTCACGCGGACGGAGTCGCGAGCAAAAGCTAGTTTTTTATATGAATGACGAGTAAGAGATTTCCTTCCATATGTACAGTCGCGGTAATCTGCAGTGTTACACTACAGAAAAAATAGCCTTGTTCATTACAATACAAACCCGCCTCTACAAGTAACTAAATATAAAAGCAATGAGTACAAACGAAGGGATAATAATAGAAATAACACTACCCCTGTATCACTAACCGACTTTCGTACAGATTCATTCATAAGCTGCATTGTATTTGTTTTTTGTTCCACGTCTTGTTTCAAAATATTCAAAAGATTGTAGCTTTTGCAATGGAGCATTTCCAATTTACCCGACTGTACTTATTTTGTTAATATTTGATGCGACACAATACGGCCAAAATACACTTTTATATCAAACAAAACATCTTTATTAAATTACATACGTATTTACAATATAATTACTTTTAATCTGAAACAATTGCAAGCATGTTTTTCGTTTCCCGCGCTTCAATTGTTTTTCACTACCTTTTTTTTTACATTCAAATAGGCAAAAGTCTTGGTGGCCAGTATGCCATCTCTTTGGCTATTTATCATCCAAAGAGGTTATATTTTCACTGAACCTGGTCGTGGCGGCTTCTCGCGTTGTTTGTTGACATAATATCGGTTAGGAACTGACGCATTATTGGCATTAGTAGTTACATCTTCCGTAACTAGTTATTAATTTCAGTCAATTTGCACAACCTTGAAGAAATTATTTAGCTTGAAGATCTATGAGGTAAATGGATCATTACTAGTTATGTAGACCGTATTATTATTATTAAAAAACATGATGTTTTTTACATAGAACTAAGGTAATCAGATTACCTAATTGTAATAAATGCCGTTTATTTTCTATATATTCTCGCGTCGTCATCTATTGATAACTAGCGAAAATCATATTCAAGGAATAATCGAGCTGTTTCCAGAATGTTCGATCGCCGCGAGCAGCGAAAATGACGTTCGCGAAAAGATATCTCGAACATTCGAAACGGCTTCGAGAATGTTCCATTATGAAATTTATGTAATTCTGACTATCGAGAAAGTTCTGGAATAAAATGACAAATGTATAACGAGGGGTATATTAGGGGAGTCAGTCGTGACTCGGGAAGTGATACGGTGGAAAGTGAACTGTGAAGAAGAAGTCCTGAGCGAATTACGAGGAAGATTAAGTGACCGCGGAGTGAAAGTGCTAGTGAATAGTGTCAATAGTGTTCTGTAAAGTGCGCTGTGTTAGGGATTCAGTGTTTGCGTGCATCGTGTAGTCTTGACGGACGATTTGTGAGTGCAGTGAATCCCTGTTCTTTAAGTCGCCAATAAATTAACGCAGAAAATTTCAAGGCGTTTTGACTCTATCCCTCACGCTCGTAACAATATTATTGCATTGTTAAAATCTCTTTTGACGCCCACAATTCAGTCTTATTATGCTATTAAATGGGAAGCTAAATTAATTCATTTGTAGCTGACAATTTAAAGCAGTTGTTATCAAATTAAACTCGTTACAATATTCGACGATTCGTTTCTAATGACAGTTCGTGATGGAATCACTCGGATGGCACATAAGGCACATCCTGCGTGACTGGCAAGGCTCATACGAACATACTACTGCGGTATTCAACTGTCGAAAATATTGTTGTCGACCCTTTTATACTCTATGTAAAAAACAGAGACATATGTCAATCCAATGTCATTATAGAGCATTTCCCGGTTTTATATAGTCTGAGCTGTATTCTTATTGTGGTTTTGTATTGGCAGGAAGTTTATTCGTATGTTTGAATGAAAATTAGATGTTCCTAATCTGTTTATTTTGGCATAAAAATGTTTTTATCAAGCTGTCAACGTGATTGTGTGAATTTATTTGATATATATCAATTTGGAATTTCCGTAAAAATCGTTTCGAGAATAATACATATTGTAAACTTTAGGACTTTGAGGTTAGATTTTTGCTAAAACAAAAAAAGGTAATTATCTTAACCAGCACACAGAAAAGTGTTCATTATGCGTTTATCTTTTGTTTACAATTTTTAACAAGTATACAATTAAATAACAAAGTATCCCTAAATCGACGGAGGAGGAGACGCACATAAAGAGGATGCTATCCGTTCCTACGCGTCTCCTACACCGTCAAAGCCACTTTCTTACCCAATCCTTTCCTTAATAGAAAAAAGT